TGATGATGCATATAGATATTGTTATATCTATTTGCTACATTCTAAGGATGAAGCACTTAATAAATGTAAAATTTATAAACAACAAGTTGAGCTTCATAAAAATGAATTAATAAAAGTATTGCGTACTGATAGAGGTGGTGAGCATTATGATCCAGTTTATTTTGAATCAACTAGAATAATACATCAAACCACAGCTCCATATACACCACAACAAAATGGTGTAGTTGAAAGGAAGAATAGGACTTTGAAAGAAATGGTTAATTCCATGTTGTCATATTGTGGTTTAAGTGAAGGGTTTTGGGGTGAGGAAATGTTAACTGCATGTTACATCTTGAATAGAACTCCAAATAAAAAGAGTAAGAATACTCCTTATGAACTTTGGTGTAAAAAGGTACCAAATTTGAGTTATCTCAAAGTTTGGGGTTGTAGAGCAGTTGTAAGGCTCACTGAACCCAAAAGGAAAACATTGGGTGAGAGAGGTATAGATTGTATCTTTATTGGATATGCTGAGCATTCCAAAGCATATAGATTCTATGTTTTAGAATATAATGACTTTATGTCTGTAAACATAGTGATAGAGTGAAGAAATGCTATCTTTGATGACAAAAGATTTACATCTATACCTAGATCAAGGGACATGATTCATCAATCTTCCAGCAAGAGTACTACTCGAGCTGAAGATGTTTATGGTGGTGCAACTTCTGTACCTGAACCTAGGAAAAGCACCAGAGCTAGAAAAGTTAAGTCTTTTGGATCTGATTTTCAACTATATTTAGTTGAAGGAACAAGGAATGAAACTATTTCTCAACATCAATATTGTTTTAATATTGAAGAGGATCCAAAGACTTTCAGTGAAGCTATGGCTTCTAGGGAGGTTAATTCGGGAAAGAGGCAATTCATGATGAGATTGATTCTATTATGCATAACAATACTTGGGTATTGGTTGATTTACCTCCTGGTTGCAAGGCATTAGGATGTGAATGGATCCTCAAAAGAAAAATGAAGGTGGATGACACAATTGATAAGTATAAAGCCAGATTGGTTATCCAAGGATTTAGACAAAAGGAAGGCATTGATTTCTTTGATACTTATGATCCTGTTGCCAGAATTTCTACTATTAGATTATTATTAACTCTTATAGCTATACATAATCTTGTGATCACCAAATGGATGTGAAAACTGCATTCTTGAATGGTGACTTGGAGGAGGAAATATACATGATACAACCTGAAGGGTTTGTGATGCCTGGAAATGAACACAAAGTGTGCAAGTTGAAGAAATCATTATATGGTTTGAAACAAGCACCAAAACAATGGCATCAAAAGTTTGATGATGTTGTCTTGTCTAATGGTTTTGCATTAAACCAAGCTGACAAGTGTGTATATAGCAAATTTGATACTTCTGGTAAATGAGTCATGATTTGTTTATATGAGGATGATATGTTAATTTTTGGTATTGATTTAGAAGAAGTTAATAAAACCAAGAAATTCTTATCATCTAGTTTTGAAATGAAAGACATGGGGAGGCTGAGGTAATTCTTGGTATAAGAATTAAACAAGGAAACAATGGGATTTCAATTTCTCATTCTCATTACATTGAGAAGATATTGAAAAAGTTTAACTTTGAGAATTGTTCTCATGTTAGCACTCCTATAGATCCTAGTCTCAAGATTCTACCAAATAAAGGATCTCCAATGCCTCAACTTGAATAATCTAGGGCTATTGGTTGTCTAATGTATGACATGGTTAGTATTAGGCCTGATATAGAATATGCTGTGGGAAGGCTTAGTAGATATACTAGTAATCCTAGTTTACATCATTGGAAAGCTGTGAGTAGAGTATTCAAGTACTTAAAAGGGACCATGAATTATGGTTTAACTTATAGTGGATATCCTTCTGTTTTAGAAGGTTATTCAGATGCCACCTGGATTAACAACTTAGAGGACCACTCCTCTACAAGTGGTTGGGTGTTTCTTCTTGGAGGAGGTGCCATTTCTTGGGCATCTAAGAAACAAACTTGTATTACTAACTCAACCATGGAGTCTGAGTTTGTTGCATTGTCTACTGCTGGTAAAGAAGCTGAGAGGTTAAGGAATTTGATTTATGAAATTCCATTATGGCCCAAACCAATATCTACCATTTCAGTCAGATGTGATAGTGTCGCAACCTTGGCTAAGGCTTATAGTCAAGTGTACAATGGAAAGTCTAGACATTTAGGTTTTAGACATAGCATGATTCGTGAGCTCATCATGACTGGTGTGATATCTGTGGAGTTTGTAAGAACTCAGTTGAATTTAGCCGATCATCTAACCAAAGGGTTAGCAAGAGATTTTGTGCACAAGGCGGCTATTGGGATGGGTTTAAAGTCCACTTAAAATATTTTATATTAAAATACCCAATTCCCATCTAATGCAATATTAGATGTTGAATTCAATGTGGAAAGCTTGATATTTGAAGATTGGAACACATTTTAATGATCATCCCAAGGTATGTGTTCAGTACTACAAGTTAAGGAGGTTGAAAATTTATTTCTTAATAGTTCTTTGAAAAATTGTATTTGCAGGTGCAAGAATAAAATAACTACCTATATAAGCATGAAGTTTAGTTGCTTCAAGAAGTTAGGACTTAGCTTTGATATGTTTATTGAAGGATGGGACACAAGCTAGTAAAATATAGTGTCAAGTTAGAAATTATGAGAATGTAAACCGGTGTGTGTATTATCTTCATGTATTCACTTTGAATAGAAAGGGTTCAATCCTTAGTGACACCCTGATATTCGAATATTTGGATTGATTAATATACTAATATGAAATTTAATCATCACGACATTTCATTTATGCATCAGTTTGTTGTTGTTTATGTTTTGTTTTAAGTTTAATTAGGATTACACTTAAATGGGGGAGGTTTGTTGGTGATTTTATATCATCAATATTATTTAAGTGTAATAGGATTAAATTTTGTTTGACCAAAAGTGATCTTGTTGAATATTGAACAAGATAGGATGGTGTAGGAGTGCACACTTGTTCAAGTTTTTCAAGATTCAAAGTACATTGTTATTAAGGGGCGAAGCCCCTAAACGAACGGGGGTCCGGGGGTAGTACCCCTGGGAGCGGGGTCCAAGGGGCAGAGCCCCTGGCTGGGATCGAAAAATGCATCAAAAATCCAATTTTAGAAAGTTGACCCTTTTTTCCCTGAGATCCGTTTAATGACAGGTTTGGTAGTTTTATGACAGTTTGTAACTGCCTATTGACAATTTTCATATAGGAATGTTATATCCATTTTTTGGTCATTTTTCTGGTACATTTTGAAGAAAATTTTCACATACATTCTTAGATTTCATTCTCTGAAATTCATCCAAATGAGTGTTCGATCTGTACTATCGAAATACTTCAATTTGATAGTGAATCACGACTTTCAGAGAATCCAAGCAATCTATTCATCCCCTATTTTCTAACAGAATTGATGAGGTACAATTATTAGCCTTATCTTCCATTGACCCCACATGATGGACAGCCTTACAGGAGTTTTATAGGTCACAGGAAGGGCAAGCACTGGCCACAAAAATGCTCAATAACGATGGTGCCTTCCAACTTCGTGACGGCCTCATATATGGCAACACCAAACTGTTTATTCCTGACAGTCGAATGAACCAAAGTCTTGGCACCGCCTCTTGCACCTAACAGAGTACTGGTATAATACGTCTCACCATTCGACCATCTGAATGTCACCATTCCAAACTCTTTATGGTCACCCAATACAAGAAAACAACCGGTACATAGCAGGTGATTCTACAGATGTTACCATTGATCAAACCTTGCAGTAACACACTAGACTTTGTGCACTTTTGAAAGATAATCTCCGTAAGGCTCAACAACGGATGGCTAGCCTTGCAAATTCACATAGGCTTGACAAAAAATTTAATGTTGGCGATATGGTATACCTGTGTTTACGAAGCTATCGGTAGAAACCGGTTCAAACTCGTACCTCCAAGAAACTCAGTAAAAGGTTCTGTGGGCCTTTCAAAATCTTAGAAAAAATTGGTTTCGTCGCTTATCGACTCGAGCTTCCACCTGCATCTCGAGTTCACCCGGTGTTCCATAGATCTCTACTTCGTCCATCGCATGGAAACCCCACTCCAACACTATTTCCCGATTTCTGTTACGACACTCCATATGAAGAGCTCGAGGACAAGCTTCTTCTCTACGGGACGAAAATTGATACGAACCCAGAGCCCAGTCCAACAAACCCAGTTGAAGGCAGCCCACACATGCGACCAAAAGGAACAAGAAGCTGCCTGCTCGACTGTTAGACTAGAATCAAAGCCACGTTCACATTTAGATACATTTAATTAAGGATGAAGAGCATGTATCTCATTGACCAATAAAGAAGCTACAACTTCAATTAATTAGGACCCATGTTTATTATTTTTGCATGCATGTTTTCCAATTCTTCTAGAAGTTAGTTAGATTTTTAATTCTATAAATTGTAACTGAAGTGGCTTAATGAAATCCTTCATAAAATTGCCTCAAGAGCTTGTCTTCTCTGTGTCTTTTGTTTTCTTGGAGTTTGATCCACTCATGGGTTATACTAACTTTATTGCATAGTAGTGTAAAAACTAGATATGCTACCATGAAATGAAACCAATAAACGGAGCCAAAATTGCATCCCAAAGAAATTTAACTTTTATACTTGATTAAAATTAAAATATAATTTGAGTGGTTTAAATAAGACGAAACCTTGCATTACATTTTTCCATTGAGATATTAAACATTACAGCATCCACAATGAGGAGTTTAATGAAAGAGTTGAATGAGGTGTCATGCCTACTTGTCATTCAATGGATACAACTCCATCATTGTGAAATGCCACCTTGGCATTCAATGGATTTGGAGTTCAATGGTCATTGAACTCTTCAATGGGAAAAAGGAAGTCTTTAAATCTTTAAATAAATATTTTTTTAATATGTTCCATTGAACTTGTAGAGTTTAATGCATTGTGGGATAAAAATGAATAGAGTTGTATGGAATAATGAATGATGATGTGGCAATCTATTGAACTCTATAGAGTTCAATGCGTTGTGGATGTCATTATATATCTTGTTTAGTAATCGTTTTATAGTGAATTTATTTCCAGAATATATGATCATTATAATACTTTGAAGATCGCCACCCCTCATTTCTTGCAAACAATTCCATTTCCACGGAACAATCCCTTGGTAGAACAATCTAATGTTCCATGCTCCTTGATCATTTGCTTCTCATTTTTCGAATTGTAGATGCACTCTGCGCAATCGGACGACAACAAAGAGGTGGTTCTATACTTGTCCTCTCCTCCTACAACCGCCAAAGCCACCCCTGGCTTCGCCGGATTCTTGAAATCCAGCTGATATGTCCTACCCAACACCCCTTCCACTCCGTCGGAAAGTCTGCTAAACTTAAATTGAACCTCTAAGTGAGCAAAGCAGTCATCAGAAGGCACTTTGTAGCCATGGATTCTGTCGTCTTCGGCTGTTACCGGCACCACATTCGCCAAAATCTCAACCACTCCAGGTATGGTAACAATCACACTGTTCACGGCAGATGTCCTCTCCACTTCGATCTCACCCTCCGACGACTTCCATGACGAAAAACCACCAAGAGCTAACGAAACATCTTCTCCATCGTAGGAGAATTTTAGGTGGTCGATTCCGCCGTCCCAGGTGGCGGATTTAATCGCTTCTAGGGAGAAACTGTGGGAATTGTAGAGGAGACCCAAGGCTTGGATCCAGGTGAAGGGCCTGGATCTACCAGTGGGTTGATGTCCGATGAATCGTCCGTTGATTTGAAGGTTAGAATCGGACACCAAGCTGAAATGCTCGTTGACCTTGCCATGAAAGTAGAACACGATGTTGTCTCCTCCGATGAATCGTGGGTCACCGCATGCAGATCCGGGGCCGCCACAGTCCGGTGTATATTCTACATTGGGGTAGGGGGAAACATTTCAATTACATAAGTGGTTCTTTTTTTAAAATTTTCATTTACAAAAGTGGTCTCTATAATATAAATTTTACAGTGAAAGTCCCTAAATGTTTATTTACAGGTCATGTTTTAGTAGAAAGTTATAAAAACGGTTCCTTTGTAATACCAAACTTACATAAATGGTTCCTTAGCTTCATAAAATCACAAAAATGGTCATCTATTTTGCAAAATTACTGACTGGTCGCTTTGCTTCATAAAATCACATAAATGGTCATGTATTTTGCAACTTTACCGACATATTCCCTATAGAATCATCTCTATGTTTCCACTTTCAAGAAAATATATTTTTGATTTTCTGTTTTGTAGATGGGATTTGAAAGACTTTTCTTATAGTAAAAGAGAGCTTACATGCTACAATGGAGTCTTAGTTTGAGAGAGATTTTATAAATAATGTGGCGTAAAAATGAGAAAAAATGTGAAAAAAACTGGTGGGCCCAATTTGATTTTCTGTTTAGTGGATTTTCCTTAAATAATGGCTAATTAATTACTGAGAAATGCTTAACAAAAATAGCTATATTTGTCTTTTTTTTTTTTTTCTTAAATGTATAACGAAAATGCTTAACGAAAATGAAGATATTCTTACTCCGTACGCATATAGATTGACATTTAGGGTCCTCACAGTCAATGCGACAAACTCTAGCGCGAGGGATGTAAGAGTGGCTTTCAGGGCATTCAGAAGGGCATTCGATATATTTCCCTGGACAACGGGACCATGGCCCGCAATAATTGAATGTATAAGCTTTCACCTGAGTAATTGCACCCAAAACAACAATCGTTGCCAAAATGATAAAAAATAAACTTCTATTGCTTCCCATTTTTATGGTGTTTTTATGGTTTGTTATGTAAAGAATTCTTCTGAATGCTCTATTTATAGCATGTTCTTTAGGTCGGGGAGGTGGACTTCATTCATTTGTTCTATTTGTCAACTTTCTAACTTGTGAATGCTTATAGCTTTAACCTCAAGACAAGGGCAAACTGGTTAGCATGATTAATGTTTCTACTTCAAATATAAAAATCTTATAAAATTAGGTAACTTGAAGTTGTATATTATTCATTATAAGTCAATCTCTTAAGTTTAATTTTTATGCAGAATGTACAAGTCAAGGAAGCATATAAAGGGTTGAGAGAGAGAGAGAGAGAGAGAGAGAGAGAGAGAGAGAGAGAGAGAGAGAGAGAACAAATTTAGTTTAAAGAAGTCCAAATTGTTTGAGAAATAGCTTCATTAAAACTTAAAGAGGGTGATATTATTCCATGGCTCTTAAATATTCAAATATAACTCGATTTATTTAGGCATGTTATAACTTTATCTTACCCTTAAGTACAATTTTGCTTGCATTTGCTTCATGAAAGATATAATTAGACCAACCCAACATATATTATGTGGATGTATAGGGACTTTTTTTTTATGATTACTACTGGGTATATTGTTTGCAAACTTTCTATATAAGGTTGTTTGCTATTTGCACACCTCATAACTTCACTTGAATTACCAGTTATAATTATGTGAATTTCGTTTAGCTTTGCCATTGATCCATGAATACGTCCTTAATCTATAAAATTAAAACCAAATAGATTAAAATAATCTCGTTTATCTTTACCACTAATCCTTGAATCAAGAAGAAGACGACATTAGCAGAAAACCACCAAAAGTACACGACTCTAAGTAAAGCAACCAATGGCGAAAGGATACAACGTTTTTGTGGGGCTCCTTCAACAGCACACTCTAAAGCTGACTTCGTAATCTAGGGCCATAGACATAAACCCAATAAATTCTTTAAGATAAAATGAGTAGAATTCTTAACAAGGTTAACTACAAATTTTCGTAAGAGAGACCAAAACCGATTGAAAGTTATGATTTTGTACTATAAATTTAGTGTTCTTTGCAATGGCGCGGGTTTGGGACGGGTTTTGGTAATTCTGTTCCCATCCCCGAATATGAAAACTGAACCCATCCCCAGCCCGATCCCCGATTGGTACCCGATTACAAAACAATATCGGGTCTGTGGGTATCACAATGGGGTAACAGAGATCCACGTTTAACATTTAAATTAAAAATACTTTTGACGCAATCACAATACAAAATCATTAGACTAGTGATGCAAGCATAAACTCATTCTAGAATAATTTTGATAATGTACAAAACCATTAAGAGAAAACTTATTTGTTATACGTAAGTGGTTACTAGTGGCAAAAAACAATAAACGTACCAGCATCTATAAATAATCATATCATTATTACTTTAAATACTATGAATAAAAAAATAACAAAACATTAGTATTACAAATAAAACAGAAAGCTATCTCAAGAAATTATATTCAAATCGTTCATAAAAAAAAATAACTCAAGGAAATTAACATATATATATATATATATATATATATATATATATATATATATATATATATATATATATATATATATATATATATGGAAATGATCAAATGAGATCATCTAAAAGGTTGAAAACGCAAGAACAGTTGTCGACCAATTATTTTATAAGGGCATTAGAGGCATTTTACAGTTTAATTAAATATGGATAAATGGAAGGTAATTAAACAATTCCGAAAATCATGGGAATTTTTTCCCCAATTATTAAGAATACTTAAAGTCTTCATTTTAATTAATAAATTAATAACAATATCATTTAACATGAATTAAAAAAAAAACGTTTATTTGTTTTATATTTTTATTTTTCCTAACAACATTTGATAATGAATAATTTATCGGTTTACCTCATTTATTTTGAAAAAAAAAATATCTTCATAAATAATGATTTATACATTATATTTAAAAATTAGTAAAATTGTAAATTATAAATGAATTAACTCAAATGTATTTATGAATACACTTGTAAAATCATAAATGAATAAAACCTGAAAAAAAGATTATAAAATCAACTAAAATGGTACTCTTATATAAATAAATAAAACATATTTCTATTCACATAAGAATATAATTATAATAGTAAATAAATAAGTTACAATATATATTTTTTTGACACGGAAACTAGTCCTACAATTACAATCATAAATGAATAAAACACGTTTTTTCTCCTTCCAAAAGAGGTATTGGTGTTGGTGTTTCATTTGGTAAATCTCTCACCTCCCACTATATGCATGTTTATTTATTGTATTTGCAAAAATGTTAATGAAACAATTATGTATAATTATATAATCATTCACACATAAATACACTGATATTCACAAATGAATACCCTGTTATTCATAAATAAATATAGTCATTCAAACATAAATTCACACATAAATATACTAGTTGTTGTTGCTTGCCTTGCTCCTCTCGAACCAGCCTCATGGAGTATTCATTGATGATTAACTGCAAAATGAGACATCTAACATTATATTCATATAAGATTACAACTGCAAGCATTGAAGTTCCATTTTTCTGAATTTAGGCATTTCATCGAGCACCTTATGTGCATAACTTATCTTCTTCCCCTATTAGCCAATTTCATCGAGCACCTTATGTGCGTCACTAAATACGCTACAAGCTTTACGGAGAAGATGAAGCTTATTCCATACCTAATTCCAACTGAACTTTCCAAAGTCAACAAGTTTTCCAATGGATTACCAGCGGACTTTGGTCCGATAGTCAAGCAAGAAACCACTCTGAAAGCCGCCATCTGGGCAACAAAAAATGTTGAGATCTAAATGAAATAAAAGGGTCTGGAGAGAGCTGAAGTTTGAGAGAAAAGGAAACATGAAGGATCTTCAATGATCAACAAAGAAACAAAATTCTCAAAATCTGGAGGAAGAGATGAAACTAAGTGGTATGAGAAGTGTAAAAAGAAACACTTCGGGAAGTGTAGCAAGGAAATGACTTGCTACAAATGTGGGAAGACGGGCATTACACCAATAAGTGTGTATCCAACAAAAAGGTGTGCTACGGGTGTAACGAAAAAGGGCATGTTTCTAGAGACTGCCCAAAGAAAAATGCACCGCCACAGCCAAGGGCATTCCACATGCTCCTCGACAAAGCAAAAAACGATGGGAGGATTAAAAGATGAAGACTTCATATTAATATATAAAGTATGTATCAAGAAGCATAGCCTGTTAGAGGCATAGTATAGGATGAACTTGAACTTTTGTGTAATAGTTTCAAGAAATATATAAACCCTGGTTTTGTTATCTGATGTGTTGAATGATTATATGATTTATGTATGGTGGCTTGGTTAATTGCGAGACAATACTTTGGATGAGTATGAGTAGGTGTGAATGGTAGTAGAGATCTATACTAGTGGAAGCACAGGATTCACACTTGGATCAGGGAAAGTCGCATGGTTACCAAGAAGCTAGTAATTGTTTCCGTTTTATTCAAGCATGTCATTACCATTATTTCGGTAATAACTAGTAAGATGGTTGTTATTCCGACCCTAATGGTCATATCAAATTGAGTCCGACTATGATGAGAGGTCATCGGGACACGACCCATCGGTCTGTTACAATAGATAAATGAATGTATTATTCCTAAGAAGAAGAAGGAGTCCACAATAAGGATTTATTTTGTAACTTGAAGGTTACGATTGAAAGTCCAACATAGTATGAAGAACAAATGAAAGATTGAGCATCACTGTTATTACTTAGGATGGAGAGATAACGTATGGAGTCAGTATACGACTCATATTTCGTTGATGATTTCGAGACGTAATCATCCTAAGGGGGAGATAATTGTATCGCTTATAGATTAGGGTTAGTTAATTTAAGGACAATAAGCATCAAAAATAACTTTTTGATGGAAGATTATTTTGAAGGAATAATCTTAACTAAGTTGTAGTATATGTTACAATGATTCCATACCTATAAAGAATGCCGAAATCCGAGTTATAACAAAGAAGTTATGACCTGTCGAAGTTTCGCGACAGAATCGACACGACGCTGAATGAAGTAAAAAATGAATTTATGTTAGAGCGATATTTAGCCTTATCGATCTAAACGAAAGTCGTATAGTTCATTACACCATGAGCGTGCATAAAAAGAACGTCCAAATCTGACTTTGTATGAGGAGTTATGATTTTTCTAAGTTGCGACTTAGCGGTATGCAGTCCGAATACTCGATTTGAGATCGAGCGGTTTTTAGCCGAAACAATCTAACGAGAATCGAAGATCTTGTTGATAGTAGTGCAATAGTAAAAATACAGACGAAAATGGACGTCAGATGAAAAAGTTATGAATTTATAACGGAGTTTCTTATCCCGACCTACTAAAAATAAATAATAAAATTAAATTCAAAATTAGCCGATGGAGTCTAAACGAAAGTTGTAGAGCGTAGTCTCACCTACGTGTGGATATAAATAACATCGAAAACGGAGTTCGTATGAGAAAGATATGAATTTTTGAAGTTTATTAAATAATCAAGATATTAAATTTAATTATAAATTTGGATATTATCCTGGGGGGGGGGGGGGGGGGGGAGTCAGTGACCTTATCCAGGTTACGCCCAACGTAATTCGGGGTTTCAACCCCTATAAATAGATGTCGAGTGCAGCCAATTTTTGGTGCTCCATTCTTCCATTTCTCTCGTGTTTTTACCTCGTTTTGCGTGCAAGAAATACTCCGAAGCCCGATATCATGAGACCCAAAGCAAGTCTCGAAGCCCCGAAGATCCCCAGAAGTGAAATTCCCGAGCCGAAGCTCTGCCCGCGAGAAGCCACTTTTTGTGAAGATCTTCCAGATCTACCAAAGAATACTACTTCTACAAGCCATAGTGTTGTCCAATCATTTTCTAATCAAGTGAGTGTATAGTTACTTTCTTCTAACATATAAATATAAAGTATTAGCTATGAAATACGTGTTATGTGTTATATATTATTTGTCTATTTGAGATGGGCTTGGAGTTGATGTTTTTATACGGGTGTTAAATGATTTAAACTGCATTTGTATTTATATCTACAAAAATTTTGGGTAGAACATAGGTATATGGAATAGTTGGTGATGATGCGACTTCATACCTATTGAGTAAGCCTTGGTGACGATGCGACTTCATGCCTATTTGATAAACCTTGGTGACGATGTGACTTTGTGCCTGTTGTGTAAACCTTGATGACTATGAGACGTAGTGCCTATCGTATGAACCCTGGTGACTATGTGATGTAGTGCTTGTTGTATAAACCGTGGTAGCATATGGACTTTGTGCCAGTTCTTAGGTAAATCCTTAGGAATGAATGAATGAAGGATAGTTGGTTCTTAGGGTAAACCCTTAAGAAAATAAAGGAGATATGGGGATGGGTATTTAGGTTGATTGTTTGATAATTGAATATAATGAATGTATTTTTGTGGGTAGAAAACGTTATATGCTCACCAGGCTCCCAAGCCTGAGCCACTCAGCTTTCTTTGCATTACATGTAATAGCACAACAGTATAAGTTGGTGTACTTGACGAGAGATTTTGGATTATAGATCAGTAGTTATAAATAACTGTTGTAAGGTCTATTTTATAGTGTTTATGTTTTTGGTATGTATCGGAACATGACATCCCGAGGTTTTATTATTTAATGAAAATACATTCTCTTGAGAAACGTTTTGATAAATTTTATTATATTTTGTTTTGAGAACAAATTCTGCAACTCTTTTAATCAAAGGATTACTCTGATTTTATAAAACAAAGCATAAATAAATCGGTCTTTTATAGCCGTGAAATTGGGGATGTCACACACACACACACACACACATATATATATAAAGAGAGAGAGAGAGAGAGAGAGAGAGAGAGAGAGAGAGAGATGGCAAATTAAAAGGAAAGATATCAGTGTGTGAGAGTTATAGAAATTAAATAAACATTCAATTACTATTATACCCTTTTTACCGTTTAAAGTTACACTTTAATACCAATAATTTTCAGAATTTACATAAACGGTCTGTCCCATAATAGCCTTAGATTTGAATATTTTGATGGTCTAGATCTGTTCTCGTGTTCTCAACCTTTTAGGTGTTCTCATTTGATCTTACTCATATATATATATATATATATATATATATATATATATATATATATATATATATATATATATATATATATATATATATATAT